CATTTTATTTTATTTTATTTTATGTTATTTTGAGACAAGTTCTCACTATGTTGCTGATGCTGATCTTTGACTTGTGATCCTCCTCCCTCAGCCTCCAGAGTCCCTAGGATTACTTACAACTATGCACCACTGAGTCCACCAAGATTTTTTCCAGTTTCTTAAGGTGGAATTTGGACCATTGATTTAAGGCGTTTTTTTTGTTGTTGTTGTTGTTGTTGTTTTGTTTTGTTTTTTAATTCTAATTTCTTCATGCAGTGCTCACATTGTCTTTTAAATAATATTTTAGTAATATCTCAGAGTTGATGATATGTTTCATTTACATTTTAATTTCTCTATTGACCCATGTGTTACTTAGAAATGCTTTATTTCAAAATATTCTAGACATCTTACTAGTTTATTCTATTCTATTTAAAGAACACATTTTTAATGAATAGTCATTTGAAGTTTATTGAGACTTTTTTTGTGGCTCAAAATAGCCATTATCTTTGTAAATATTTTATGTACCCTTGAGAAGAATGTCTCTGCTGCTGTCTTTGGTTGATATGCTCTATGCCAATTGGGTCAAGTTGTATTGATTATCTTGTTCACATCTTGTCCGTCTTTGACTTCTGGGGCACTTGTTCTATCAATTATTGAGAGAAGGGTAATGAAATCTCTGATTCTAATTGTAGATTTGTCTATTTCTATGGCAGTTCTGTCCATTTCTGCTACTTACATATTAAAACTATTATTAGGCATGCACACATTTAATATTTTGATGTTCTCCTATTGAATAGATCCCTTTATCTTTATGGTATTACAAATTTTTATTTCTTCAAGTATTCTCTGCTGTGAAATCAATTTTGTCTGAATCTAATAATCCATTTCAATTTGTTGTTGATTAGGGTAGGTTTGATACACTTTTCCTGTACTTGTACTGTTAACCTAGTTGTCACATTGTATTTAAAGTTGATCTGTTACAGTTGACATTTACTTGATTGTATCTGACAATATCTGATATTTAATCTGTGTGTTCAGATGACTTTCACCTTCTTTCAAGTTATCCTGATTTTCTTGAATTGTTATGCTATTTAAATGTYCATTTATACTTATTATAATTCTGATTTTATTTTAGTAATTAATTGTGGGCTTATGGTAAATAACTTTATCTTAACATAAYTTTAACTTCTGATGACATAGCCTGATCTTACCACAAGTGTTACTGTGCCACCTACCTATAATGTATAGACATTGTGACTATAGAAATCTATTTCTCCCAGAATTTGTTCTGGTGTCATATATTTTACTTTCACATCTGTTGTAGAACTGATACTATATTTTTATTGCATATGTTTAACCAGATGATTTTCTTTAAAGAGATAGTATATGTGCATGTTTGTATACACATTAACATAAACTATGTGTGTATATATATATATATATATATATATATATATATATATATATTTGCTATTTCCAGTGCTTGGATTCACTTTTATAGAGCTACATTTCTAATTGGTATTGTCTTACATCTTCCTGATTGACTTCCTTTAACACTTCTTGGAGTGAAATCTTTTTTATGGTGGAAAAAAATGTTTATTTTACCTTTATTTTTGAAAGATTTGTTTTTATTTTTCTGAATAAAGAGTTTTAGGTTTACAATGACTTCATTGTTCTTATTATTCACAACTGTTTTCTAGCATGCATTATTCTTTCAATGAATTTGTTTATATTCTTTTTTTTKGGGGGGGGTACCATGGGTTGAACTCAAGGGTCCTTGATCACTGAGCCACATCCCTAACCTTATTTTGTATTTTATTAGAGACAGGGTCTCACTGAGTTGCTTAGTGTCTCACCGAATTGCTGAGGCTGTCTTTGAACTCAAGATCCTSCTACCTCAGCTTCCTGAGCCACTGGGATGATAGGTGTGCACCACTGTGCTAGGCTTGTTTATATTCTTTTCTTTGTTTTTCTTCATGAAGCATTCCTCTTTCCTCACTTTGCTTTTAGGATTTTCTTATCAATAGTTTAAAAGAATAGGACTCAGGTAAGTCTTGCCATMTTTTTCCACTATTTTAATATTTCAGCCTTATTGTCTTTCTTTAACCTATGGGTTTATATCTTTAATAACCTTTGGACATTTTTTTAATCATTATTCAACAGTTTTATTCCTCCAACTTTAGAGCATCACTTGCACATGTATTAGCCTCTTCAATTTTTACCACCACTCACTGATGCCTTGGCCATTTTCTGGTGGTGGTTGTATTCCTTTTTTGCTCTCTGGGCCTTATACAATTTACTCAAATCAATTTTTCTTCTGTAATATCTAATATGCTCCTAATTCTATCCAGTATATATATGTATATTTTTATCTTACACATCCTAGTTTTCACACCTCAAAATTTAATTCAGGCTGKGTGCAGTGGCACATGACTGTAATCCTAACAGCTCTGGAGGCTGAGGCAGGAGGATCAGAAGTTCAAAGTCAGCTTCAACAATGGCCAGGCACTAAGCAACTCAGTGAGACCCTGTCTCTAAATAAAATACAAAAAAAAATTGATCTGGGGATGTGGCTCAGTGGTTGAGTGCTTCTTAATTTAATACCGGTTACCAAAATTAAAAAAAAAAAAAAAACATCAATTCAAGCCTTTTTATTTCTTCCATGATTCTACTTGGCTATTAAAAATATGGAATATATTTACAATAACTGTTATATTATCCTTTTCTGCTAATCCTGACATCTGTGCCAGTATGGGTAAATTTTCATTGATTGATCTCTTAATACTCAGTTTTAATTTCCTGATTATTCACTTGCCTGATATCTTATTAAATGGATGTCAAATAGCATTTATACACACATATAACTCACATATACATATTCATATAATTATGCTTTGTTTTTACATACTGTGGGTTGAGATTTATTGGATCCTTCTGGATTGTGCTTTTAAGAGTTATTAGGTAGGACCAGAGAATTATTTATTGTGAGGATCTTTATTTTCTAAAATTTAGGAACAACACATCTGAGTTCTTAACAGGTATATATTGAGATTTTTCCAGACTGGTTGTTGGGAATAGGCACTCTTCCTGTTTCTTTATAAATATCATAGTGCTGTTTCTGCCAACCCATCAGTGTGATATTTATTTATTTATTTATTTATTTATTTATATAATAATTTTAACAAGCGATGCTTAACCACTGAGCCATATCCCCAGATCTTTTTTTTATATATACATATTTTATTTAAAAACAAAGTCTCATGAAGTTGCTTAGGTCTTTACTAAGATGCTAAGGCTGGCTTTGAACTTCCAACCACCTGCCTCAGCCTCCCAAGCTGCTGGGATTACAGTCATGTGCCACTATGCCCAGATTTTAGTGTGATTCTTTTCCCTAATTAAAGTAGTCTCCTTATGCACATGCCAAACYGTACTCTGCTGAAGATCGCCACAGTTCTCTGTGTAGCTCCCTGCCCTTTATTATCATGTGCTATGAACTCTAACTACCTGTTCTGCCTGGACTCTCAGCTCTGTCTTCTCAAATTTTGAGTCTACCAGATTCTGCATTGCTTCTACTTCCCAGTGTTGTGCCCTGCAAATTCTCAAGATTATTAAATTATGAGATAATTGTAGGACTCACCCTGTTTGCTTCCCATCTCTCAGGGCATAGGGACCTTCATTGTCTGATGTTCAGTACACTGACTATTACTGCTTCATGTAAGTTTTCTATTTTTTGTGTGTASCTCAGAAATGGTACAAATTGAGTGTGTTAACCCAACTAAGCTAGAAGAGTCTCTGATCTCTAAATTATAACTATCAAATTTCCCCTCATGGTTTATGTCTTGGAGTCTTAACCCTTAGAGATTCCTTCAATTCTCCAGGCCTGCTCCTTTCAATCCTTTAAGATTGGAATCCCAGTGTTTTGTCCCTTAAGATCTTATTTCACATTCTTCTTTTGCTTGTTCTCATTCCCTCCTATACCTTTTTCATTGGTCAGTAAAAACAGTGTTTAGGCCAGTCATAAACACATACTAGCCAGGTGTGGTGGTGCCTGCTTGTAATCTCAACWACTCAGGAGGTTGAGACAGGAAGATCACAACTTCAAAGCCAGTCTCAGCAGCTTAGCAAGGCCCTCGCAACTTAATCAGACTTTGTCTCAAAATAAAAAATGAAAAAAGGACTGGAGATGTGGCTCAGTGTTTAAGTGTCCCTGGGTTCAATTCCTGGTACAAAACAAAAAMCAAAAAAACAAACAACAACAACAAMAAAAAAAAAAAAACCACCATAAAACAAACAAGCAAAAATAATGAAAGCATACCCACACCAACACACATACTAATAATCCTATTCTATCAAGCTTATGGACAACCATGGCTAACATAGGACTTATTCCTTCMTTTCACAAACTCTCTTATTCTTTTCTCTAAAAATATGAAGGACCTATTTTTGAGTGATGTGCTTTTTAATTCTCTATATTCTACTAGAATATTAGCTATGAAAGTAGTGACTGTGTCTGCTCATTTTTATTGCATTGTCTGCATCAGGAATCCACAGTTCTTATTGAACGGGAACTCAACAAATRTAAAAAAAAGAAAAGAAGGTTTGCACCAAAGACATTCCATAATTTGAATATTTAAATAAATATCATTCCATATGACAGATTATATTTGTATAAAGATGCACTTATAGAAATAAATACAGCCTATCATTACTCATCTCCCAAATTTTTAAAATTTTGATACAGATTTATTTTTTCCTATCAGAATGAGGTAATTTAAAAATATCTATAAAGCAAAGTGTGTTGCACTCTGAACAACATCCTATCAAAATACGTGACTAGGTTATCATGCACAATCGTTCTGGCTTCTACAATAAATGAATGTAAGAAGTAATATATGATCTTACCATCATAAATATTTCTGTTAGGTGACAATACCAAGAATGTTCTTGAATATTATTTATGAGTTCTGTGATGAAGATGGAACCATTTTTTTTCCTCCAAGAAAGATTATCTGTGAGTAAAGACAAGGATAAATCTTGAGCTGTAGCCTTCATCCTTTCAAAAAAGGAAGCAATTATAAATAACTTTGAACAGATTTAAGGAAGGAGGAAAATAACTCAGATAACTGTGTTTGACTTTAAACACAAAGGGTAACTAGATGGGCTCTGATCAAACCATAAAGGGTATCATCTGAGGCTTGTAGCATCACAGGTGCAGGAGTAGGGCTCTGGAACCACGGTTCTGTGGTTCAGAATATAAGTGCTATGTTTACATTGGTAGTATAGGTCACATTTTCTACTAGATTTTTTTTTTAATCTTCAAATTTTCCTCAAGGCAAAATAGCTGCTCAGTGACAAGCAGTTATTGAACTCATAGATAACAAGCTGACCAATGAGAGACAGAGGGTGCTCTGTCCTTGTTAACACTGGTTGGTTCAAATTCTATGTTAGTCATGGACAGAGATGTCTTCTGCTAAGGCTATTCTGTTCTATTTTTTAGTAGCTCTTTCCTCAGAACAAAAGTCTGTATTTCTGACACTGGAATTGCCCAAAGTTGCAAATTAGATAGGCTGTGTATTGTTTTCATTGGTATACCTCAAATAGCCTGAACTTCAGAGTCAAACTAACTTGAATTCATACCTGGAAAATACTGCAAGTGTTTATTCAGGCAATTTATATGATTTTCGTGAAGTTCATGAAAAAAGAATGACAAAGCTTACCTGTCAGATATGTGCTAAATAGTAAATAAATATACATACACAAAATAAATAAWTAATTTATATTAAGAATAAGCTTTTGCTTGAACATTTCATAAATCCTGTTTTTCCCAGGYCACTGACAATTATCTTCTCTGAAAYATGTAYCTTCTTTTTCAAATGGAATTGSCTTAAATATGATGATTTTTAAAATTGGTTCTCCAAAATTTTTTATAACTCCTAGTTTGCAATTTTATTTCACCAGGTGCTGCTTATTATTTGGTGATCTTTTAATGACATCTAACACTTAGGTTTTTTGATTTTCTAAACTAGAAATTTTAAKTTTTTGAAAAAGAGGTCACATTCCCTTTTTCATTTAAAAATATCCTCAGTGGTAAAAGCAATGCATTCATGCCAAGAGACTCATCAAACCATTACTGCTGTGAGCCTACTGACCAATYACCTACTAAGTGGATAAGGAAGACTGGCATCTGGAAGGATGTAGAGCAGAAGAGGCCCCTACTGCCACTAAACTGTAAAAGAATGCTACAGAAACGTGGATGGGATCTCCATTCCTTTCCCATTCCCTTGTAAAGGTTTTTGGCCATGTAGGCAGACAGGCCTCCTTCTCACACATCCTAACCCATCCATGCAACACATACATCCAACGAAATGCATACGTGGTGTTGAAGAGCAGAAAGCAACAAAGTCCTTCTCCACATGGGCCTTGTGGACACCATCATGCATCGGATTCTCAGAAAACTGTGAAGAGCTGTCCACTGAGCCTGCTGGAAAATCGCTGACCCACACCTCTCCAGTGTTTCCTATGGAGAATGATATGCTGTTATTTACTTACTGCTGAATACATGTTGGTTCTTTGACAACTAAATAAATGGGATAGATTTTATAAAGATTTTCAATTAATTTCACACACACATACATACACACACACACACACACACACACACTTTATGGGTCTAGCATAGCCATAGAGGATGTCAATGAATAGCAATCACATTCTTGACCTGGAAGGTACCAACTGAGCAGAGGCAGTATTGCTGCTATAAACATACATTGGTTATGCCTGAGTAAAGAGAGCCATTTTTAGTTTCATGACAGTTAAAGTGACAATAACACAAAAGCAAGGGAGGAAATAACTACTCTGTGCAAAAACAGACATTAAATTCTAAACCTGTCTTTTCACTTCCTTTCCTTCCTAATTGCTACTTCTTCCTTCTAAACCATTCCTCAAGTGATGTAATTACATTAAAGTTAAAAAAAAGTTATAGGAAAAATAAATGCCATAATAATTTTATTTTATTTATCTTATTACAGTATAATTTACATACAGTAAAATTCATCATTTTGGTGAATTTTAACATATGTACAGTCATATTGCTATCTCTGTAACAAGATGTAGAATAACCTTCCCATCTTCAGCTTCTGACAATTATTACCTTGTGTTATCCCTATATTTTTGGCTTTTTCCAAATGCCATGTAAAATAGAATCATGTAGCATGCAATCTTTCAGGTCTAGCTTCTTTCACTCACTTTGCATTGTTTAATTATTTTGAGACTGGGTCTTACTATGTTGCTCCTGTTGGTCTTGAACTCAGCTATTAGTCTTGCTAATAGCTAAGACTAGAGGCACAGATCCCCAGCTTTAATTTGGACCCCTCACTTTCAGGTGAAATACTTCACAGTCAGAGGTCATAAAATTTTAATAACATATTTTTAAATTAAACCCTCTTCATGCCACAGTTTTAATAATTCTATGTAAAAAATAATTTAGAATTCATATTATCATCACCACTTAACTGTGGTTCAATGACGATTTACTTTTAAGTTGGATAACATTACTCTATTGCCACCCCTAAATGCTCTTTCCAAAGAAATCTGTTTGATATAATGGCACAAAAGTAAGGCTCATGGCATTTTCACCAGATTAGAAAGCACATAGTATAAGCCTCAGCCTGCATGACATACACCTCTCTTATYCCTGGGCCCCATTGCAACTCACCCCCTCTACAGGCCTGGATGATGATGACCTTGGGTTTGTCCTTCAAATGGGAACAGTTCTGGTTGTTGAAAATCTGGAAGATGGAATCATAAGGCAACACATCTTGTGTTTCATCACCATGTGTGATCCCACAGATCGCATCAAAGATGCCATGGGACATGAACACCAAGAATGTGCTGTCTGAGGACTTGTGCTCTAGGCGGGCAGCAAAATCTCTTAGGACTCTCTTCATGGCCTRTGAGAGAAAACATTTCATCATCGCAACACAATATCTACACTTTCCCACGTTAAAGCTTTGAGCAATAGAAAGAATAAACATCAAGTGTCTGGCACATTTCAGAGCTTAATTTATAAAACATACACATGGATGACAACCATTGTTATTTTTTGTTGCTATTAATGTTATTGTAGTAATTCAGGAAAATATTTCAATACTCTAATTCTATATGTTTCCCTTAATTTATTCTTAATATACTGGCAAATGTTTTATTGTGGCAAATGTATATAATCCATTATTTATCATTTTAATAATTTCTGACCTTATAATTCAAATACATTCATGTTGTTTGATAAAATGTCACTACTTTCTGTACAAAAACTTTTTCACCATCCCCAACAAAAACTGCATTCATTTAATTTTAACTCCTCTTTATCTCCTAGTAAACTCTATTCCACTTTCGTTTTCCTATTAATTTGCTTATACTAAGTTTATCACATAAGTCAAAACATAGGACATTTATCCATCCTTTCCATCAAACACAAAGTTTTAAGGCCCATTCATGTTGTAGAAAATACCAAAATCTCACTTCTTTTTATGACCAAATGATATTCTATTTTATCTTTATGCCWCATTTTACCTACCTATTCATTTGTGGATGGACACTTGATTTTTTTCCCACACTAAATTTTGTAAGTAATAATATAATGATATAAATAMCGACATACAAGTATATTTGCTAGAGTCTCTGCTTTTGATATGTTTAGATTATGAGTGTAATCAGTGGGCCATATAGTAGTGTAATCTTTTAAGAACCACCCCAGAGTGTTTTCCACAGTGACTACATCACTTTACATAACAAACATCAAAACACAAGTTTCTAAGTTTTCCACATTCTGGCCAATACCTGTTATTTTCCTCTGTTTTTTCCTCTTCCTCTTTTTTCTCCTCCTCTTTTCATGGCCAACCTAGTAGGTGTGAAGTGATGACTCACTGTGGTTTTGATTTCCATTTTTCAGGTGAATAATGATGTTGAGCATCTTTGCATATGCTTACTGGTTATTTGTTTGTATTCTTTGGAGAAATAACTATCAAGTCCTTAACTTATTTTTTTGAATCAGATTGTTATTGAGTTTTAGGAGTTATTTTGTATATTCTGGATATTAGTCCCTTAACAGGTATCTGATATGCAAACCATTCTTCAGCTTACATTTGCACTCTCTTGTTCATATCTTTTGAGACACAGTTATATTTATCAATTATTTTTTATTGCCTGTGCATTTGATGACATATCCATGAAATTGTTTCCAAGTTTGATGCCATGAAGAATTTATTCAATGTTTTCTTCCTTGAGATTTATAATTTCAGCTCTTAAGTCTAGATCTCTGATTGATTAAAACTTAATAATGATAGTATATATAATTTATGTTAGGACTCCAACTTGATCTTGCATGAGAATATCTAGTTTTTTCCAGTATCATTTATTGAGAAKAAAAAGACTCTCCCTTCCTCACTGAATAGTCTTGGCACCCTAGTTGAAATCAATTAAACACAAATATGAGGCTTTCTGTTCTATTCCATTGCTCTATATGTCTGTATTTATGATGGTATCTGTAAGAGTTCTGACAGTGGAAATATATAGGATAGCATTCCTCTAGTGAGCCAATTCCCAAAGGATACCAGGCACCCTGTCTTCCACAGTTGGAATATTCTGCAGTTTTCCCCAGGAACTAGAAAGATAACTAATCCATGTGCAAGGCCTAGCTGCTATGGCAATGCCCTGAGGCTCTATGCTAGAGTCTTATCAGCCTTAACCTTAATGTCAGGTATATAGCTCCTGTTAATAAAGGAATGTGCTATAACTATAATGTTTCACCAAGCTCCAGTGCTCYAGGACCTGCCCACCTAATGCCTAATGGTAACTTCAGATAATGAACTTTCTTGAGAGCTACAGAAAGCTCTTAACATTGTATATTGAACTGTAGAATGTAACTGCAGAATAAGCAAACTTAGTGATACAATAAACAATAATGTTGTTATGACACTAATGACTTAGAGTAACCTATTAGTGTAAATAAACGTGGCCACTTAGATGAGCAGCCATTTTTTTGCCTTGGCATCTTGTCTCTGTGTCTCCTTTTCTTTCCTTTTTTTCTTTTTTAAAGTATTCAAGTTTATTTATTTATTTATTTTTATGTGGTACTGAGAATCAAACCCAGGGCCTTGCACATGCAAGCCGAGCGCTCTACCGCTGAGCCACAACTCCAGCCCCTCCTTTTATTTCTTTATAGGTATCATATGTTTTAATTACTTTAAAAAGAAAGCTTTTAGCTTTCTTTTTCTTTTTCAAGATTGTTTTGGATATCTGAGCTTCTTTGCAATTCTCTATAAATTTGAGAATTGGCTTTTCAAATTCTCACCCTCCCTCAAAAAAAAAAAATGTCTGTTGGAATTTTGATAGAGATTTCACTATATATGTAGATCACTTATGACAGCATTAGCATGTTAATAGTATTCCCTTCCAATGCATAAACATGGATTATCTTTCTATTTGTTCAGATTTTCTCTATTTCAATAATATAATATTTAGTAGTTTTTGGTGTACATGTCTCTTAGTTCCTTTGTTAGATTTATTCCTAAATATTGTATACTTTTAGGTGTTACAAATAGAATTGTATTGGTTTTCTAATTTTCATTTCAATGTGCATTCTAGCATACAGAAACACAAGACCCTATTTTTATGTTAATCTTGTACTTTGCAACTCCTATGATGATGACTTTTTTTATTAGTTCTGATAGCCTTCTATTATAAAGCTAGTGGTAGAATCTGTGAATAAATAGCATTCTCTCTTCATTATCAGTCTCTACACCGCTTACTTCTTTCTAATAGCTCTGGCTAGATCTCAAGTACAATGTTGAATGCACTGATGAAAGTGATCATTCTTACCCTGCTGACTGATCTAGGAGAAAAACTTTATCTGAGTTTCTCATGAATACTATTTAGCAGATTGAGAAATTTTCTCTCTATTCATAGTTTTCTGAGAGCTTTCTTTGTGCAAATGTGGACTTTGTCAAATTCTTTGTATCCATTAATTTGAGTCATCACAAATTTGTTGTTTTTGTTCCTGTCATCCTGTCCATGTGATCTATTATCCATTGTTTCTCTTATGTTGAAACACCACCACACTCCTGGGATAAATACCACTTGGTTAAAGTAAAGAATCCTCTTTATTTACAAAAGATATTGTTCTGAGATTTTATTTTCTTATGATTCTTGTATTCAGCTTTAGGATTAGAGTAATTCTAGCCTCATAGAATGGGATGGGTTATAAATTATTTTYTCATCTTGAATTTCTTGAAAGGTTGGAGAAAATTGCTGTTAATTTTTTCAGTGTTTGGTGGAATTCATTGGTCAAGCCAGTATTCTTTGTTGTGATGTTTTTGATTACTGATTGAATCTCCTGACTTGTATAGATTTATTTCAAATTTCTTTATTTTCATAATTTAGTTATGATAAGCTGTGTGTTCTTAAGAAATTACCCATTTCATTTCAGTTATCTAATCTGTTGGCATGTAGTTATTCATAGTTATAATCTTTTTAAATCTCTGTAAGTTTGAAAGTAATGTTCTCTTTTTCATTTCCAATTTTAATTATTTGCTTCCTCCTCCTCAATTCTGTGGTTTATTTTAAAGAACTAAGATTTTATTTACTTTTCCTATTAGTTTTATGTTTTCATTCAATTATTATACTCCTCAGCTCCAGAATTTCTTTTTGTTCCATTTTATACTTTCTATCTCTGTATTGATATTCTCATTTTGTTTAGATATCTTATATCTGGTTTTGCCTATGTCTTTTGTTAGCTCTCAGAGCATCTTCAAGAGAGCTATGTAAAGCCTCTGTCTAATAATTATTCAATCTGTGCTTCCTCATGGATGGCTCCTTTAAATTTGTTTTGCTCTTTCCCAATTTTTCTGTGCCTTGTAATATTTTTAGCTAGATATTTGAGTATTATATAATTGTTACCTTCAAATTTCTATATAAAACAACATGGGATTTGAATATAACCTACACCACATCCCCAAATACTTCAAATCATCTCTAGATTGATTATAATACCTAATATAATATAAATACTCTGCAAATAGTTATTGTACTTTATTGCTTATAGACTAAAAGAGAAAAAAATGGTACATATTCAGTACCAATGCACCTCTTAATTGAATATTTTCAAACTTTGGTTGGTTGAGTGCGTTGATGTGAAACCTGTGGATACCAAGGTCAAGAGCAATGGTGTTACCTTGGATTTCCCCTTTCTTTGAAGTTGATGTTTTTACTTATTGTTTGTTTTAATATATCTCTGTGTCAGAAATCAGTCTGAGGTGAAAGTTTAAGATCTTTTCAGATATTTTTTGAGCCTGGGCATATGTGGTGGCTTCCTAAATTCCCTCATATATGCTCTTGTTTTTAAACATTTAAAAAAGACTATCAGTCACTTAAATATCTGGAAACTGTTTATTTGGTGAGGGTTCAAACATGGCATCCAGCTTCCATGCCCACAGTTCTCAGTAGGAACACATATCTCCAATATTTAGAGAAAAGGTCTTTTTTTCCACTCTTTCTCCAGCAAGTTGTACCATAAATGCAGCTTGCCATCCCCATGGCTACCTTCCCCAGGTTGAGGAGTGGGATAAGGGATAGGTAGCTACCAATATTAACTGCAATTTATCATTCAGTCTGATCCCTAGAAGCTTGAAAGTATTAGTCCAAAGAGTAACTTCATTGCTTTCTGCCAGTATAATTTTCAAGGTACAGAGGTGCTTCTTACTCCTCCAACTTTCCTGATATCCTTCTCCTGTGATGCTAAATTATTATTATTATTATTATTATTATTATTATTATTATTGTTGTTGTTGTTGTTGTAAATGGACAAAATGCCTTTATTTGTTTATTTTTATGTGGTGCTGAGAGGATCAAACACAGTGCCTTGCACTTGGTAGGCATGGACTACGCTAAACTACAGCCCCAACCTTGTGATGCTAACTTTTAAAAATTTTCACCTCCAGATCAATTTTTTGCTCTTATCTTCCTTGTTTGTGTCTCTACAGACAATACCTGTTGATTTCTATTGTCAACAAACTTCATATTGTTTTTGCCCAATACAAAAACACTGGCAGGAGACTAGAGGATAATGGAAAACAGCAGTAGTAAAAAGTCAAGATATTTTACTCCTCCACATGCCTACATGCCCCAGTGCTGCCACAGTTCTGCTGGGGACCATGACTTCTCTGGCTGCAATGCCTTCTGTGTGAACACTTCTCCAGTTCTCCACACATGCTGGCAGAAAGTGTGTGTGCACTTCCTAAGTGATCAATTTGGGGCTTAAGAATAATAAAAATAAGAATAAAATGAAAATACTATCGCTGAAATATATACACACAAACACATGTGCATATATGTATGCTTATACACACAGGGTTTATATTCACTGCTCCAAGGTAACATTGGCAACTATAAATGACAGCTTTGACTTTTCCATTTTCAAATTGAAAAAATAGCAGCTTGATCAGGTAGTGCATGCCTATAATTTCAATGTAATTGGCAATAGGAGTGCAAGTTCAAGGCCAGTTTCAGAAATTTAGCCAGACCCTCAACAAGTTTGAGAACTTTTCTCAAATAAAAAATAAAAATAAAAAAAGCTGGGGACCTAACTCAGTGATAAAGCACCTCTGGGACCAAGAAAAAAAAAAAAGAAGAAGAATGAAAGAAAGAGTTGAAAAAGCAAAACAAATCCCAGATAAATGAGATGAATGGCCCTGAAATAGAGGTACATGGACATATATAAGTATGTGTACCAAATAGGGAAGGGGGCCTTACCCTGGCTGTGAGATTTCTTTCTACAACAACCATGTAGCCCAGGTCTTCAAGCAGCCTCTGCATCCCTTGGATGTCATATTCAGACCCATTGCGCCTTGGGAGAGAGTCAAACTCTGTGTTACAGATGATGAGGGCCAGGCGAGTGCGGGTCGCCTTCTCTTTGATTGGGTAGATCTGCAGAATAATGCCAAGTTATGTGCAATTAAAGTTCTCAATATATTCACAGCATACTCAGGCAACACTCTCAATGACATGAAATAACTGTTTGTTCATCTGCTAACTTTTGCTGTAACCATTTCTTTCTCTCCTTCTTTAATGGTAGAAAGAGTTTTAGAAAGAAATCAGACAAAATAAGGGGAATAGGGAAAGCTACAGCAAGAAAAGCAAACTCCCAGAGTAATGAATAAGAACAGATGTGGGCTATTTATTCAATGACCTCGTGGAGTAGACAAGAATACTTTTTGTCCTTCCTTGTCCCTTTCCTTATATTTAGCCAAACTTTATCTGATATAAAAGACCCATATCAAAATTCTTGAATACTAGATCATTCCCCACCTTCTTCAGTTGACATTGATCATAACAATCCTTAATTTTATTTTATAGTATCTATATATAAACACAAAGTAGCATCAATATATAATGCATCAAAACATTATTGTTTCATTATTGCACATCTAATTTTCCTGATAGAATAAAATCCCTTCTGTCAATATCATATTACAATAAAATACTCATATACAGTTATTTTTTGACCCTTGAGGTACTTTCATATATCTTTTAAAAAAACCCACTGTCAGCCAGCTATGGTGGCTCATGCCTGTACAGTGGCTTGGGAGGCTGAGGCAGGAGGATTGCAAGTTCAAAGCCAGCCTCAGCAATTTAGCAAAGCTTTAATCAACTTAGTGAGATCCTCTCTCAAAATTAAAAAAAATGCTGGGAATGTTAGGATGTTTCTCAGTGATTAAGTACCCCTAGGTTAAATCTAGGTTCAACTCCCTGGTACAAAAAAAAAAAAAAAAAAAAAAAAAAAAAAAAGAAAGAAAGAAATACTATTACTCTTAAGTCCTCTGTGTATTTACATCTAGGGTATCTTTCTACTTCATTTGATTCCCTATTCCATTAATTTTCCATCTCACCCTTCCAGCCTCCTTTGTGCATAGTTCCAGGAATTTTTGATGAGGACAAAGCTTGAGTAAGCCTCTGGATTCTTCAGATACTGTCTCTGGTCTGCCATCAATAGCTTCTGCACAAATTTTAAAAGACATGACAAATGTGATATATGGTATCCTGGTTCTATTTATTTTTTAATTATAGGTGTACACAATATCTATTTTTAAAAAAATTTTATGTGGTGCTGAGACTTGAACCCAGTGCCTCACACATTTGAGGCAAGTGTTCTACCTCTGAACCACAACCCCAGCCCCTGTATCCTGGTTCTATTGGTGCATCCCAGAACCCAAGTCACCCCAGTAATTGTCAGAGTGTACTAATTCTCTTGGAATATAAAAGAAAACTTTGTGGGAAAACTGTTAGCTGGTAAAAACTAGTTGTGTCCAACATCTTGTTAATTTAGGTAAATTGTGGTCAGGCAAGAGTTGTTGCTCCTTTGTGGGAAAAGTTAACTGATTAAGAGAGGTACTCCAGATGCAGCAATATATGCATGTGACTCTGGTGAAGACTAGGAAACAATAGGTCTAATAAGACTCTATTGATCTGCCTTGGTTCTGAAAACTTCATTAAGAATCTCCTTTGAATCTAATCTCAGATTTATAAGGATTATATAGCTGGTCCCTAAGAACAGCTAGAATGTGCTTTGTTTTGGATGGATAACTCTCCCAAGTCTCTCTCATTATACGTAGTTATCAACATTGGATTCTCATTTCTCCTTGATTTCTTTATAAGGCTATTTTTAAAAGCTGAGTGCTTGGCTCTACTGAACAATGGAGGACAGGTTGTCCAGTTGTTTATCCTTTCTTTTCAAGTTATGGAGCAGCCAAGATGCCAGGGCATCAGTGGGGTGGGTGGTGGTGACCAGCTGTCCTTGCTGAGGATCTAGAACTCAGAATATAGGTCCATCGACTGGGCAAAGTGTGTGAAGGTCATCAAAAGTCTCATCAAGCAGGCTCAGGCTGGAGAATATCGATACTCATTTCCTCCCTGAGTAGTCTTTGATGCTTTCTTGGGGAAATAGTCATTCTATCCCTAAATGTGCCTCAAAAGAAAGAAAAAGGTGTGGACAAATGTTGCGGGTTTGGTTTGTTTGGTTGATTGAACTCAGAGAAGAGTAAGGCAATGATTAGAAGTAATGGCATGTTTTACACAGAGACACAAGAAACAGAGTCCCTGTGGATCTCTGATTTGGCATCATTGGACAGAAAGGTCTGTTTGTACAACACAATACATCTTGGCAGTCCTCAGGATGGGATTTGGAAGCAGGCTTTACTCCTGATTCTACCGCATAACAGCTATATGAACTTAGATTACTTAATATCCCCTGTTTCCAATTTTCCCACTTCTGAGTGAGAACAAAAAAAATCAGTTTACATATTAGATTTTTGTGCATATTTAGTGATTTAACACCCAAGAAGCAATGTGTGGCTATATTAAGTTTTATGTGAGTGTTAACATCATTATTTTTCTCTTGCTACTACAAATATAATGTGGACTTAGAAAATGATGAAATCAGAATTTGGTGTTGTGTGCACATGTATGGTTCACATTAAACCACAAAGCACTGATATGCCTGTTTGCCACTGCTTCTGCAATGAAGGTGAGTTATTCTCATCTAGAGTCTAATGCTACCTTTGATTCCTGTGATTCCTGAAATTATCCTGGTGCTTTTCCAAGGGCTTCCTTTTACTGTCTATTTATAGTGATCTCATCCGGTCCTAAGATTTCAAATGGATATCATAATTTTATGTCTCCAGCTCTTCTGGGTCCAAACTCATAATCAAGCCCTTCCTTAATATCTCCTATATCTATAATGTACCAGAGCATTGGCATTTATTTAAAGAGGAACAGAAGCTGAGGCTGGAGATATGGAAAGTGTGTGTTAGATTAAGAACAGTGGGTTTTATTCTTGGGATATTAGTAGATTAGTAAATGGGCAGTGTTTCAATTGGAATATTTCATCAATTACTGTAGGTTGGTCCTTATTACCCTTTAATTGCCATTAGTATTGAGCATCTTTCGTGAAGAAACAGCTCTTAGATTGAGCCCTGAAAAGACTGTAAGACACATTTCTAATATTTCTAATTGTAATAAAGCAAGAAAAAGAATGATAAATTGCACTTGATTTATGCAGAAGTGATGAAGTGGACTATCACTATTGAAAAACTTGAAGTCATATAGCTGATGGTGGACAAGTTGTCAAGAGCAATGGATTGAAAAAATGTGTGTCATCAAATAAATGACAAATAAGGGAAGGGCATGTGGTTCTAATGTGTCCTCAGGAGACTTCATGAATTATAAAGGCTTAATGTCAAGGACCACAGTAAAAACTTTTGTCTCTTATTCATTTGGAGAGATTAGAAAAAAAGGCTTCAAAATTATTACTGAAGGACTAAAGGATTATCCACAGATAAAAAGACACTTCAAGTGAAAGGTAAGGTACTGCCCACATGTGAAGAAGAAACTAGGAGAATTTGATTTTAACAAAGCAAAGGAGAGCAGGAAGAGCAGGCCAGCATGAATGGGAGACCGAGTGTAATAATATATTAGGTGAAGAGCTGCTGAGTCATCTGTTATCTGGCAGGTAAATAAGAAAGCATGCATTAGATGCCAAGATACAAGGACAGAATTGAGAATGTGACTGTAGTTAATAATAATGTATCTTCGAAAATTATTTAGAGAGTGGATTTTAAGTGTTCTAACCACAAAAAAAAGGGACAAGCCTGCAATGTGACTTATACATCAATTAGCTTGATTTAATCTTCCCACAATGGACCAATAGAGCAGAACATCACATTCTACACTGTAAATATCTATAGTTTTGTTGATTAAATCATTTAGAATTTTTAAATAAAATCTTGGAATCTCACCTGAAGAAAATCCTAATTTATAAGCAAGGCTGGAATCTCTATTGCAGATATAGTCAATAAGTTTTTGGCTGGCACAGGACCCTTTTGGAATGACTGAATCTATCAAATCACGGGCTTTGTCTTTAGTTGTAGCATTTTTCTTTTTCACATTTTCAGCCTCCTCTTCGTTCACTACCTCTTCACTTAGTAGGTCATCCAGCAAAGTGTAAAGCGTATCCTCAGACACTGAGATAATAAATGTTTTCCTTTTCTCCTTTAGTCTCTTATCTGTTGGAAGCACAACAGTGTTGAAATTGATAGCCAGCTCAAGAAATACAACCGCCACCTCAATAACTAGGCTTCTTTCTTCTTTTTTTTTTTTTTTTTCTATATTTCCTCTATGTGGTTCAGCTATCCCAAGGGATGGTCTAATTAATGTATTTACGATCGATGCTATTCCTTCTCAACCCATGGGCAGCCACTCATAGAAGTCTAACCCAGCACCCTCAAAAACAAGGCTCTACTTACCTGGTGGTTCTTCTGGTTCTGCCTTAGTGAGTTGCCAGGAAAGGCTTAAGAAGCTCCAACTGTTGTATTTCTTTGATGAATATAAACATATCCATGAAATCGGAGTCAATAATGGTCAGATTTATGTCATTTTCCCTTCTTTTATTTAGAAAGACTCATCCTTGGTGATTGCACTATGCAGATTCTGAACTTCAGTCATGTTTGGAACATGAGCATTCAGGGAAGATCCATAGCTCATTTCCTATGAGGCCGTTTATAAGAGCCTGACAGAATATAGCTCACAGAAGGAGGGCTCCTTCTTTTCTCCTCTAACTAAAAATTGTTCACACAAACTATACAGATTCTAGTAAATAAAAGTTGAAGTGAGTCAATATCAAATATCTTTCCTAATGCCCCAGAGTGATCAAAAGAAGTCTTACCAGCCATGTCCTCTGTAGCTGTCTTCTTAGGATAATAGGAAGAATCAAAAGGATAAAAAAATACTAAAAAGAAACAGGATTTTCCTGTTGAGCAGAATGTGAGTATAATTTAGGGTGGAGCTACTGCATTGCTTATATGGATGTCCTGTGTGTGTGTGTGTGTGTGTGTGTGTGTGTGTGTGTGCGAGAGAGAGAGAGAGAGAGAGAGAGAGAGAGAGAGAGAGAGAGAGGCAGAATTAAACATTGACCTGGAAAACTGCTAAGATAAATTAAGTCAACTCATCTACTATAAATCCGCAACTCCATGAGCCCCTCATCTCAGTCTTGGATAGCTGGTTATCAGAGAGACTCTCAGCAGCACCTGCATAAGGGCTGACTACTCCCGGCCAACTCACAGAACTAAAACCTGTCTCCCACATTAGAAGAATCATTATTTCTTTCCACATTAGAAGAATCATATTTAATTGACTTTTTCAGTTGGTATTCAACAGGCTGTGCTATCATATGGCAGCCTGTGGAATGGTCTCTGCTCTTCTTCTTTACTATAATCACGCATGTTCTGTCACCTGAGAAGAACTCTATGATGTCATTTGATCCCGTGAGCAACTTTAATAAAAAGGTGCATACAAATCTTTTTAAAATATAATGTTTTCTCAGCTAAGCACCTGTAATCCCAGAGACTTGGGAGGCTGAGGCAGAGAATCACAAGTTCAAATCCAGCCTCAGCAACTTAACGAGTCACTGAGGAACTCAGTGAGATCCTGCCTCTAATAAAATATAAAAAAGGGGCTGAGGATGTGGTTCAGTGGTTAAGTGCCCCTGGGTTCAATCCCTGGTATGTATAAACAAACAAACAAACAAACAAATTGTTTTCTCTTGTTCTTAGTCTATATTTTAGTGAAAATATGTCAAAATATTTGAAAAAAAAAAAAAAACACTGCAGGATGAGTCTTTGCACAATCCTGGTACCTGGAACCTCAGATGACTAGGGATGCCTACTGCAGTTTCCTCTATAGACAGAATCATTCCATGCCTCCAAAGGCCACTTGTAACTTGGGGTTAAGTACAACAATGTTCTCTCTGCTCTGAGCCACCCACTTGTTTCTCTGTTGCCATGTGTCATATACCAAATTTCTAAGTTGATAAACTACAGGCTGATTGACTGCATTCAAATGCCATTAGTCTAGGAATTAGAGAATTACTGCATTTGGTACCAGTTTTACCACTTTCAATCTCCATGATCATGGACAAATAGCGTTCTTTCTAAGTCTCATTTTTCTCCCTAAAATTAGAGGGAATCATGTGTCACCAATGGAGGTGATTCTTATGAAGAACTTGTGAGATATTTTATACTTTAAATGATTTAGTAAACAAAAATACAGAGACTAGAAAATTCACTCACAATTAAATATGTCCCAAATATGGTATGGGACCTTTTTAATCTAAATATTTGAGGCATATTTATGCTAGATGTATTTGTTGTTTAACTGAAATTTAAATTTAATTGATGTCCTGTATCTTCTCAGGGAACATTATGGCATTCGGGCCAGATCAGTCTCTATGGTAGGAGGCATCCTCTGCATTTCAGGATTGTCAGCTTTTACCTACTAGAAGCTGGTAAAACTCTCCTGATTGTGGCAACAAAACATGTCTCCAGACTTTGCCAAATCTCTCTCACCTCATGATGAGCTTCTGTTGACTTTAAGTTACACGTGAGTGTTTAAGGTCTCTGCTCTTTTGCTTACATGTTTTATCACCTTGGTAAAAGTTACTTAGCCTGAGCCACTTTAACTATGAAATGGACATAACAATAATATGTTCTTGTGTGGATTAAATTTCAAAACTATTTCCCAAACATTTATATATGCTATATACATGCACATTATAACTTTTTACTCATTTAATATATATAGTGTTCCTATGAAGTAGATAGTATTATTAAGACCATTGTATAGATGAAAAAACAAAAACAAGAAAAACGAAGCACAGGCTAAAGCTTAAGCATGTACCCCAAATCACACAGCAAGTAAGTGGCAGACTTGGAATTCAAACCCAGGTGGTCTGGCTACTGAATCTGGTTCATCATTATGCCAGGCTTTCCCTAAGAAACTGGAGGCAGAATTGATGGCAGGTGGTTCGGTTATGTATGTTGTATTGAGTATTAAGTATGTTGTATTGATTGTTAGATTAGTGTTATTATTTTATACAGCTCTGAATGTGGGAGTTGGGCTGTATGTTCTTTTGAACTTTTTAAACTCTGTTTACAAGTACTTTGGGAGTTAGAAGGCATGAGAGAAGAACTGCAGCTTCCTCTAGTGAATAATGAACCTGCATAATTGCCCAACAGATGAGATGAATTTGAGGGAAAATTTAGAGTTTCTCATTCCCAGTCCAGGTCTCTTGTATCACATCCACCTCTTTTTCTAGCATTGTGCCCTATGAAGGCAAGGCGGTTAATATTGAGGGAGGGTCTGCTTTCATAGGTATATGATAAGTTAAAAGACAAAAGTATAAGCACAGGAAGAATATATGCCAATAAAAGAGACTAGAAAATTCACAAAATGGCAGTACAAACAATGCTATAATGGGATTTCAGAAAAAGATGGATTTATAAGTGTTCTGGGCTTTCAATGACTGTTGAATGTACAAATGAAAAAAGGAGGAGGAGGAGGAGGAGGAGGAGGAGGAGGAGGAGGAGGAGGAGGAGGATCATCTATAATTAAAGAGCGCTTACTATGTACCAGACATTGTGGTGGATGCTTTACAAACAACAGGGCATTGTTCACACAGCATCCCCGTGAAAAAGATGTTAGTGCTAGATTTCCATTTTACAGATGGAAAACTGGCCTCCCTCACATTAAAACTTCTCACAGGAAGTCAGTAGTTAATACTCGGAAGAGTTCAAATTTAAACTCACTCCTCCAATTCAAAAGCCAAGCTATTTCACATGCAAATGCAAGGCAGGGAAGAGCATCCCATGCCTGCAGAACAGCATAAAATCGGAAGCATGCAAATCAGAATGCCATAAATGAAAACAAGGACAAGGAAATAGAGCTGTTTCTTTTAAGCAGACAATGCCTGTAATACAGCAAAATAAAAACAAGATTATTGAGGTAAGTTGGTTCCTTTACAAAGCACTTATCACTAACTGATATTTTCAATTACTTATTTCCTCTCTGTATTTCTCTACTTTAAAATGAGTCCCCAAGAGTGTCCTTGTCCATCTCCTTTGCTTTTATACACCATATCACACACAGTAATGATTGCTGTGTTGAGAACAATCCAGTATACATTGTAAAATGTGAATGTTAGGAAGGAAGAATAAATGTCAAACATAGCAAATTTGTGAATAAAAATGATTTAGACAAATATATTATAATTAGGGTAATCAGTTTAAAATTCAAAATTAAGCCATGCACACAATTGTAATCAGGGTAAATATGAATTAATTAATTTAATCATAATACATTTCCTCATTTATTTTCATTCATTATATATATATTGATAGCATGTCTAATAAACAGCAGGCATGAAAAAGAATCTAGGAATTCAAAACAAAAATACAGCATTGTTTTGTTCTTAAGGATTGTTGCTGGCTACTAAAGAATGCAGACATGTGAGTTAATAATTGAAGCACAATTGAGGTTTCATAATTGAAATCTGCACAGTGTAGGCAGGTAATGCTTGTAATTCATTGTTCCACTGCTAGATGAACAGGTTTGGCAATAGCTTTCATGGGAAATAAAAGGGCTATTTTGTTGGCTCATATTTTAATGTGGATTAGGACAATGAAATATAATCTTAGCCTGTATTCATCTAAACTCACTCAAAAATATTTCTTTTGACCCTGTTAAATATCATACTTTGTGCTCAATGAGAATGAAATAAATTAATTAGTACATAGAGTCCGGACTTCATAAAGCTTATTTGCTATTAGGAAAGAGACAGTAAGTCCATGGGCCAATAAATAAAATGATTGTTAATTAGAGTATCTACCATGAAGGGAGCACATGTAGGAGATGGATTAATTTCCTATTGCTTTTCCAACAAATTACCACAATTCAATTGCTGATCACCATGCAAATTTAATGTCTTCCATTTCTGGAGGTCATAGTCTAAAGTGGGTTTCATGGAGCTTAATGATCAAGGTGTGGGCAGGTCCCCACTTCTGGAGGCTCTAGGGGAGAATCATTCTTCCCACCTTTTCCCTTCTGGAGGCTGCCCACTTTATTGGCACATGGCTCTGTGTCACTGTGACCTCTGCTCCTATTCCCATTTTCTTCTCTGACTATTCTGCTTCTTTCTTTCTAAAGTCTTTTTTTTTTTTTTTTTTTTTTTTTG